GAGGTGCAGAGATTGCTCAGGTCTTTTACAGTCATAAAACACAAATCTTTTGCTCAAGTAAAGATACTGTAGATAGCATCTAGTATGTGTTATTGTAAGCCACATATGACCATTATTCTATGGCTATTATCTCATCATGGCTTGTTCATCAAAGTGCACATTCAGCTTTTTATTCAGTGAAGGGTGAAGGCTTCCAACAAAATATTAAAAATACAATAAAACATCAGACATTAAAAACTTCCCTAAACAGGGTTGCCTTCAGATGTCTTCTGAAAGTCAGATAGTTGTTAATTTCCTTGACATCTGATGGAAGGGTGCCACTACCAAGAAGGCCCTCTGTCTGGTTCCCTGTAACTTTGCTTCTTGCAGTGAGGGAACTGCCAGAAGGCCCTCAGAGCTCTACCTCAGTGTCCGGGCTGAATGATGGGGGTGGAGACACTCTTTCAGGTATACTGGGTCGAGGCCATTTAGGGCTTTAAAGGTCATCACCAACACTTTGAATTGTGCTCAGAAATGTACTGGGAGCCAATGTAGGTCTTTCAAGACTGGTGTTATGTGGTCTTGGCAGCCGCTCCCAGTCACCAGTCTAGCTGTCGCATTCAGGATTAGTTGTAGTTTCCGGGTCACCTTCAAAGGTAGCCCCACACAAAGTGCATTGCAGTAGTCCAAGTGGGAGATAACCAGGGCATGTAGCACTCTAGTGAGACAGTCCGCAGGCAGGTAGGGTCTCAGCCTGCGTACCAGATGAAACTGATAGCCCTAGAAACAGAATTGACCTGGTCCTCCATGGACAGCTGTGAGTCCAAAATGACTCCCAGGCTGCATACCTGGTCCTTCAGGGGCACAGTTACCCCATATAATGCTCCTTAATACTCTACCAGTGCTAGATACAGCTTCAGCTTCAAGCACAAAGTCATAGGATTGGGCTGTTCAGTGCTACCCTGTTGACATATAAAAAACAGTCACATTTTGACTTCTGCGACCATCTACATTGTCTTGCTTTGCTCTCTGACAGTATTCTTGGGCCAAGCCTTCACATTCTCCAAATCTCAGTTTCTCTATCTGTTTGTTAAGAGGCTAGTGCTTCAGCATGCAGTGTCAATTTCTCCATGCAGCACAACTCATCTGTATTTGCATGCCCATGTGTTCCTAGTTCTCAGAAGAGATAAACCATCCTAATTGGCTCACTTTTGCCTATCTTTTCAGTTTATCCCTATGATTGCCCAAAGTTGTGTGTGTTTCTATGCTCCACTGAAGATGTGATCCCCAGACTTCGTATATTGTGAATAATCTCTCAAATAAGTAGATGGGAATGACAGATAAGGATTTGATTTTTTTCTCTCCACCAGGTTCATGTTCCTAGATCAATATCTCAAGTCAGTATAGGTGCCAAGTGAACTCCAAAATCTTCCATTAAATCATGGTCCCAAACTCACCAGGGTGAAAACTTTTGCCATTAGTCAAGATCAGCAGTGCTAGAATAGCAGGATATTATTGCTCTGTTCTTTTTCTCTGGTGTTCTTTATTGCTACCAAGGGCTAATATTAATAACATTTATCTAGCAATTTACATTTTTATTAACTAATTAATCTTTTCAGTGCCATATTATGAACATTAAATACTTACTTGCCATCCCTATGTTCAGTCTTCACATTCATGCTGCTTCCAGCACCTAAAGCAGCAACAGTCCTCTATAGCTAGAAGTGCCTTTTACCAGCTTTGTCTGGTTTGCCAGCTACAACTATTCCTGAAGAGGCAGAGCTTGGCCACTGTGTTAGCCTTAAGTCTAGATTACTGTAATGTGCTATGTGGGACTGCCGTTGGATCTGGTAGAGAATCTCCAGCAGGTCTAGAATGCGATGGCCAAAGTCAATCATATATATTAATGTGAACCTATCTGAGTCACACTTTCCAAGCCAATACATGAAATAAAATGCAGCTATACTTTGCAATTCACACTTCTCTGAATTTTGTAGTGCAGTTTTTGACCCCAAAATGTATACAGTATATGTTAGGAGAATAGAGCAGCAAAAGGGGGGTATTAGTAAAAATAATGTACAGAAATGCTTGGAAACATCTGTGCATTTGGGAAAATGACATTCATAAGTGTGTATTTTGGAAAAATGCACATAAAACGCATTGAGATTTCATGTAAATGTTTTTAAAAATCACAAACTGATGCAGCAAACTGGACTTAGGTCTGGAAAAGAAATAGAGAAACCTAAAGTGACAGATCTGTAAATCTCTATTCTGAATGCAGACTTCTGGGTGAACCCACAGTTGTATAACTGAGAATACTGTAAGAATGAGTAATGGCAGCAACTGCACAATTCCTATTCAGAAGATCAAACATTTACTTGCCAGGTTTTGAGATGTGATCCATTCTTTATTTTATGTAATGATATAGTTTTATCTTTTAAGGTTAAAGTCTGGAAAAAAGAAAGACTTCTTATTATTTGCCAGTGGTAAATTGTGCTCCATGACTCAGGCATCCACTTCTGCTCTCTTAACTTCACAGGTTCAAGCTACTAAGTGCAAGGGGGAAATGATGTATGTCTGGAAGATCAGAAGTGGCATTGGCATCACACATCAAAAACAGTCAGTAAGGAAAAGTTTTTGTTCATCACCTTACACTTTTCACTTGCTCAACTTTTCAAATTCACACTTTCAGAAAGGATGCTGGAAAATATGCACTTGGTCTTCACTCCACAGCACATTGTGGCAATCACTAAAGCTCAGAGACTTCTAGAATCCAGGCTAAAGCAGAACAAAATATGTCATATTTTGCACCACTGAGATTAGAGAAATGCTTTTCTCAACACAAAGACTGACACCAGCATATTACCAGGAACTTGAATACATGCAACTCAAGAGACAATATTGTGATGGGAAGTTTGTGCCACAGCTCTTTAAAATGGGTAGCTAAATAAGGGTTTGAAATTCATAATGACTTGGTTCAGAATATATGAATCTGATTGGCTCATAGGATTTAGATGTATAATAAATTGTGCCAGTTTTTCTCTGGCATGGGGTGTACCGTAAAGTAAGATTCTAGAGATATGGTGTTTGGTAGACAGGAAACCCAAATCCACTAGCCCTGCACAGGAAATCATTGAGCATTATCACTTTATTCTCAACAAAACTTTCATAGGCTACTGGAAACCAGATTATCCAAGTCACAATTTGTTTTGGTGGACAAGCAAATTTTCTATTTGAGATAGGTATTCTTTACACTTTTAAAAAATATGATTTCTCTCCATCCATCCCATATTTGTTTATTTATTTTATTTAAACCCCCCCCTTTCTTCCAAGGAGCTCAAGATGGCATACTTGCTTTCAAAGGTCCTCATTTCATCCACACAAGAATCCTGTGAGAGAGGTTAGACTAAGAGGCAGTGATTGGCCCAAGTCTGTGACATGGTGGAGGCTGGATTTCATAGAAGTGTGCTCGTTAATTCAACGAATGTACAATCGGTATATCTATAGTCAGGAGATGGAGCCAGGGGCAGGTCAGCAATAAAACATCTGGGACTCAGCTACATTAGTCAAAATAAAATGTTATAAATGCTTTATAACACTCTGACACCAGATGGTGCTGTAGAGCTGAAAATGGAACTCTGTGGAATTTTCCATTGTGAGCTTTAAAACGTTTCCCCCCCAGAGCATTTTAAGAATGTTTTTTATAGCTGTGTAGATGCAGACCTGGTGTTAGAGAAGTTAACTCTTTGTTCAAAGAAACCAAAATAGTGCAGACCTAGTATCACAGCAACTCTTTCCAGTAGGTATTGCCTCCTTGTGACAATTGCAAGGACAGAAGGTATTCGCCTTCCCACCTCTGTCTAAGGCTCCTCCCCTGGTTCCTTCCCCAGCAGCCTCGCGCTCCTGGGAGAGTTCAGCAGGGAGAACCTGGAGCTGCTATTCCTCTCACCCCCCAGCAATGGTTGCTTGAGGCAGTTGCCTCACTCTGACATACTGGTAGGGATGGCCCCATAGGCCCATAGCCTATTCATATCCCACTATTAGCCTTAGCATCCAACACTATTAAACTCACTGTACAGAATTTAATACCATGACCACTTTTTTCACTAATTGAAATCAAACTATTTTATTTCCTGTTATTGAGAACCCAGTTAAAGTCAGTCCCCCATTCATTTCTCCATCCTGCCCCTGATACCTGCTACAACCCTAACTATTCATCTGATAATACTTTCCTAATCAGGGCCACTAACCTTCAAAAAGTGAAGAAAGCAAAGGCAAGATGTGATGCTCAGAGGGAGGGAGAAAAGACTGCCTGCACGGTTCACAGAAAACAGATGGAAAAGGATGCTTTTTCTCAAACGGATGATCGAAATAGATTAATTTCAATGTTCAATGTACTGTAAGATGTAGAAGTGAAGGAGCAAAAGAAGGTTCTGAATATTTCACTATTTATCTTTTGAGTAAAACAGATCACTCAAGATATTTTTAAATTACATTTGGTGATGGTTTTTAAAATAGAAGTATAAGATTCACATTTTCTCATGCAGGTCACAAGCCTCCATGGGAGCTAGATAAACATTTTGTAAACACTTGCATGAAAATACATTTAATGCTGCAGAGAGAATTCAGTGAGCTGACTAATTAGTTTTGCATTTAATATGAATTCAAACAAGAATCGCTTTGTGGGAACCATGGGGTGCATATACAACATCTACAGCTGCACTTATGAGAAGGGATGGATGTATTGCTTGCCTTTATACCTGGGAAAAATGGTGTTGGCCATAGCTGTGCTAATAACTTTCCCACATATTTAACAAACAATAGGATTTGAAAGACATTTCACCAAGTATGTCTTCCTGAAATGATAAGGTTCATAGTTAACAATTTCCAAAGTTTGTTTACTGTTTTTATTACCGTTGGTATTTATTGCATTTGTTTGCCACTTTGTACCCCCCCCCAAAAAGTCTGAAAGTGACTTAACAGCAATATAAATTTCAAGCAAGTAAAATCAATTGGAAGGGTCATAGCATAGTGGAAGAGCATCTGCCTTGCATGCAGAATGTCCCGGGTTCAATCCCTGGCTGGGAGAAATCCCTGCCTGAAATCCTGGAGAGATGCTCAACTAGATGGACCATTGTGTCTGCCTCAAGATGGAGGCCTGTCCATACCTTAGCTTAATGTGGATTGTGAACCCCTCCTGCCTCCTGTAATCACCCTTTAGCCATGCAGCATACTCCTCCAACTACTGCTGTCCCACATTTTCTCTCCCAAATCTGAAGATCTCTGATGCCTCAAAAATCAGATATCAACAGGTACATTTGCCTGAAGCCAGCAGTCTGGAACTGGGGCACTGGCAGAGGTGCTTGTAGAAAGCAAATACCACCATAGTGCTGTGAGAGAGGCACCCTTCCTCCACCATCACCTCCTGGAATTTGCTTCCCCTTAGCATATACACAATGATGACTGTTTCCACTGGTGAGCTGCCTTAACAGCTGCTATTGTGGATTCCAAAGGCACTTGTAGGAAATCAATTGTCTTGGTTTAGCCCTAACCATGTATCTAGTTGTTGGTAGATCATCATATTACTGATAAGGTTGTAATTTGTTCCCTTAGAAGCACATGATTGTCAAGTATTCATGCACACAACAAAACATCAAGAATGCATAGCTCTTTGAACAAAATTTTCTGCAAATATATCCCAAGCTATAATTTTTTTCTCTTTGAAACAAATGGTAGTCAAGTAGCAGGAATTGTGTGCAGGCATGCACACAACAAGATATCAAGAGTGTATCTAACTCTTTGAACGAAATTCTTTTCAAATATCTCTTGAGCTCATAGTGTAGTTCAGCTACACTGATGAGCACTTCGCTTTCCCAATTTCCACTGTGAATCAAAGTTCATTAAAATAGGTGTTTTACAATGGTGAAAGAGAACACTGTCAAGACTCGAAATGGATCTGTAACTCATATCAAGTCATGCTGCTGTGGTCAGCTATTAGCACAGTGGGAAGTGGCTTATCATGTGCCAAAGACACAGTAATAGCACAACAATTGCTGTGTTGCTTTGTTTATGAATAGTTCTAAAACTAAATGTACTTATTTCAGGGTTCTGTACCCTGCTTATACCCTGCGTATGTTTCAAGGCAGCTTACAAAATCAGAATGTGATGAAATAATGCAGTAAAAAAAATAGAAACAAGAAGAACAATGAGCAAGTTGATTGAAAGTCTTTAAAACAAATTTCCCAAAAGGCCATCAAAATTTCTTAAAAGACCGGGAGAGCAAGATGGACTTTGCCTGTTGCCTAAAAGGTAGTAACAAAGGTGCCAGGTGAACATGCCTAGGGAGATAGTTCCATAATTTAGATACAAATGCAAGAACTAAATAAATACTTAAGATATTGCGAACCAGTTGTTGTTTGCATCTCTTTGATGACATCCTTAATGCAGTAAACTAGCCCAGATATCACAAAAGCATGAATGCATTTATCTATAGGTTACTGTATTCTACTTAAAGAGGAAACAAGTGCCCAGATCTTTATAAGCAAATACTATATATATATATATATATATATATATATATATAGTTAGATGTCTTATTTCTGCCCTAAGCTGATGGGGGAAACCAATAGCAAATCATGAGTATGTAGTCAGAAAAATTGTTGAATTGATGTAAAAGTGTTTAAAAAATGATCCCGCAGATACAATTATGAAGCAAAATAAGCTTCTGATGAAAACATTTGAGCTTCTTGCTAAGTAGGAGAGAGACTCAGAAATAGATTGACGTTGAAATTGAAAAGCTTCATTGTTGTAGCCCAATGTGCTGCCAGTATGATACAGGTGCACACTCCATGCACTCATATATAACTAAATATGGCATCTGGAACAGAGCGCAGAGGGCTCTAGCATAGTAGTTAGTAGCAATTCTTTGTCACTTTCACCTGGTTTCCCCGTCACCTGTGCAAGCACAGAAAGATGAAAGCATAGCACAGGAAATCACAAATGTATTAAGGAAGGAGATCCCACAGAGCCATGACAGCCAACCAAGCACCTGCAAAGGTGAGATCAACTATCCACTGGCTATGTCCAGAATACGTTCTTTATCTGTCAAGCAATATGGATTTATAGCCACGGTTTGAGGACAAAAGCCTCAGACAGCACAAAATAAGGTAATGCTCAGCAAATCCTCTACACCTCACCTATGAGGATGTTACTGCAATTTTTTCTCTCCATTGACCATCAATAAATTTCTTTTATTATTAACTGATGGGGAAGATGACTCACCCATAATAGTTGTTAATCTGTTACTTCCTAATTTGAAAGGCACAATGCAATCTCCTCCATCTCGTACCACATGAATGCTGTCCAGACAATGTGTATTTGTTATAAAATCAATCAATAATTTTTAAAAATGCAGAGGGAATTTTCAGCGCAATACTACACTTGAGCAACACAATCCTGGCTCTAGACAACAGATCAGATGGTTCACTGAGGCAAAAAAAAAAAAAAAAGGTACATCACATCCACCCTACGCACACACTATCCAGTGTTCAGAGGGGTGAACTCTATCCCCAATGCCCAAGGTGTGTCCAACCTGACATTTCCTCTCAAGCCTATCAACAATAAGATATGTTGTGGAAACATCCCTTTAACATGCTGGATACTCACCAGGGAATTGTTCCTGCTTTTTTGTAAGTTGCTTTGAGTTGCCTGTGGCAAAAAAGTGACTAAGAAATGACCAGTGCTATTTTACTAGAAAAAAAGAGGTGCCAGAACTTAGCATGAACACCTACCTTGTTTTCTTATAATGGCAGTAGCACCCAACTGAGAGCTGCCGGAAGTAAGTTCTGGTGAGTTCCAGCTGAAAAAAGCCATCATGTTGATGATGAAGATAGGTCGTATTTTGCCCTAAGATATAGCTCTGTACAACTTAAACCACAATTTTGAAGGGAGCCCAGCAGCCATTTGTTTCATCCTGCTAGATCAGGGGTCGGCAACCTAAAGCCCATGGGCCACAAGCGGCCCACAGGGGTCGTTTAACTGGCCCACAAACCGCCCCCAAACCTAGATGCCCGCTCAGCAGGTCCCCACATGCTGCGCTAAACCGGCACGGCACGGGGACTTGCTTCCATGGTGCCAGAAATCACATCTGTGCATGAGCAGACGCTGGAAATCACATCTGCGCTGACGCAGATGCCAGAAATTGCGGGCACACATGCTGATGCACACACACACATGATCTGGCCCACAGAAGGATCTCTGCTGGAGTGAACTGGCCCAGGTGAGGTAAACCTTGCTGACCCCAGTGCTAGATGCCTGATGCAGGCCTACTCAAATTTTGCAGTCCTGGAGCAGCTTATTGTATTGAGCCTCTGATAGCCAACCAACTAACCATGTATAATGGCCTATGTTCTGCTTGGTAGAACCAAGAAAAGAAAAGAAAAGAAAAGAAAAGAAAAGAAAAGAAAAGAAAAGAAAAGAAAAGAAAAGAAAAGAAAAGAAAGGGTCTTTTGTTTACTGGGTAACAGGAACAGTAATTGGCAACTACCCAAATTTTCAGTTCTAAAAAATGTGCCAAGTGAATACCGATGTAGCAAAGAGTATCAATCCAGAATTCCACCAAAACTAACAAGAACCAGTTGGGTTTGTATGGAAAAGAGTGTGGCAAATTGCTAACTTTCCCCCTTCTGAATTCTTACTTGCACATTTCAGAATAGTATAGTACTGAAGTAAGCAGAGCAGATGGACAAAAAGGGTCATACGGCATGGAACAGGAAGACTATAATGATTCGGAAGGAACTACTTACATGATAACACCATCTGTTACGTCTCCTGTCTCTTGTCTTCAAAACATACACAAAACCAGGAGCATTATTAACATCACTAGAGTACAACTGCTGCTTAGTTCATTATAACCTCTGCTCTTGTGCTGTCATGTTACTATTTGCTTATTACTACAGTGCAATACTGGATTTGCCATCTGCACTGTAGTAGCTATGACCTCTCGGTCAATTGTGTGATCATCCAGTTGATAATTATACACTTCAGCAAGCTTGAGAAGTAAGTCACATTCAGGAAGCCTAAATGTTCATTCTCAGTATCACAACAGTTGTATCTCATTAACACCAGCTCTCACATTGTAATACATAATGTATTAATTTTTCGAAAAATCATTGTCTTCCTTACTCCCATTTTCAGTTGTGTCCTTACAAAATAATGTGACAGCTAGGCTCTAAAATTAGTTTTCTAAAACCTGAGTCATTAGCTTTAACTCAGGTAGGATTCCAACAGTCATTATTATGCTGTGGCCAATTTCAGGCATGATGCTAAACTATTATCTACATGCTTTACGTGGTGTTACATGAAGATACAGTATGGAGCCTTGGGTTGAAGTGCTCCCCCATTCTCCTGGTTTAAACTAACTGGAGTTTGTTATTGTGTCTGAATTGGGAACTCTGGTAATTTCTAACTACAATTTTCTGGAGGTAGGTGGACCCAGAATCATAAACCATAGGGATGGAGTAGGAATTTAATTCAGTAGACGTTTAAAGCCAACTCTATCAAATATGCATTTCTCGAAACAATATGTGAGCTGAAATATAGCTAGCTTTCAAATCCTTCAAATATGTCATGCCATTCTCCAAACAAACAATATTTGCAAAGATGTATATCTTAGAGGAAAGTGTGAATAAAAATGAAGATATTAATGAAAATAACAAACAACAATGCTTTATATTAAGTAAAATTGCTTGCAAAAATGTGTACAATACAGTCAAAACTCCATATAAAATGTATTGTGGTAGAGATTCATATGAAGTTTGCTCTAAGTGCTACCCAACTGTATCATTTTGCATGGTAAGCTTGGCTTTTGAAGCAAGTGGTAATCAGGCATTAGAGGCTGCAGCAAGACTTGCTAAGGAAGGGTTCATCATATTGTTACATGCCAGCATATATTTTGCAAAAATTTATAAGGCCATGTACCAAATCTCCATGGGACTCATAACTCCCCACATATTTAAAAATAAACAGAATTAATCATATATTTATTTGAACACCAGCTCTTTCAGAAATCTTTCCTAAGTAATAAGTACCA